GGCACAAGCGACTGCACGTCCCCCCGCCGTACGGCCCGGCCCGGCTCGGCTCGGCCCGGCTGCTGTCGGGGCTCTCACATCGCGACATCCCTCGTTGTCACCACGAGGCGTGATTTCAGAGATCGAGCGGGGCAAGTTGCCCCCACCGCTTCTTTCGGCACTGAAGTGGACTAAGCCCCATTGACTGGGCTTTTTGGGCTGGGTGTTCTGCCCTTGCATTGGGGATGGCAGCTCTTCCAATAGGCGGCTGGGAAAGGTGGGTGTGCTGCAGAGCCCCCAGCACAGCAACCCCCAGGTGCTTGCAAACACCCCTGCCAGGAGCCATTCAGAGCAAACCCTGCTCGTGTGCATGATGCCAAGGTCCTGCTGCCTGGCATCACCATCCAACCATCCACTAAAGCCATGTGCACACAGTCCTGCTTTTGCAGAGCGGTGTTGATGGGGACATGAAGGGGCTGAGTAGATGTTGGAAGCAAGGCACAGCAGGTGGCCAGCGATGAGATGCTGCCTGCTGCTCAGTAAAACCCTACCAGCTGAAATAACCGTGGTTAGTTACTTAGTGGCATCAGCTAGATGTTCTAGTTATTCTCCTGGTGGCATCCTCCTAGCAGGGATGTGCTGACATTGTCTGAAACCAGCTGGCAACAATGTGAATGCTACAGACAGAAATGTGCTGTTATACTGGTATAATTTTGTTTGTAGCAATATCTCTCTTCTGGGCATGCAGTTTTGGCTCAGTGGGTCACAGCACAACCCAAATGCTCACCCACTGAGCCATGCTAGTAGAATTATTTAACTGTAGGCCTAGACTATAACAAAATGTTAGTGGTCTCTACAGGACATGGTACTTTCCAATAGCATTCAAGAGCACAAAGGTAATTTTCCCCCTTTATTTCTTGTTTTGAAAAAACATCAAGATTTTTTTCTTTCCTAATGATATTAGTTTTGCATGGTTACCCTCTTGGAAGATGGGTGATGGCAAATTTAAACTCGCCTCCCCAACTTCACCTTTGTGTGCTTTCCTATGACACCTTTAACTTCAGTGTTACAGATCACGGCTCCGATAATAACAGACAGATCTTTTCTGGATTCTTGGAACGGGCTAGATATGGAGCTAGCATGGAGCATGGAGCTAGGAAGTGCCAAGAGAGTGTTTCAAAGGTTGCCAGAAGTTGTTTGTTGCTAACTGTATTACCTGAGAAATAAACAGGTAATACAGTAAATACCATCACAAAGAGATAAAAGCTAGACACAAGCATCCTGTGTGAACACGTAACCACACAGCACTGCCCTGCAGGGTTATGTATATGGAATATCTCCCTGTCAAAACACCTTAAACCGTAAGTTCAGAGCAGATAATGTCTAAAAGCCACCAGCTCCTAGATGCAGGCAGCCAGGAATGGAAAGTGGCTTCTCTGAAGTAAGACAAAGCACAGAGATATTAACTTCCAGGACGTGTTGGGAGCTGCTGTGTTTGTGCCACCTTCTGCTTTGTTAAGTGGCTGGGGTTGTTTTCAGGTGTTGGTGAGCCTCTAACTGATGAATCAGTTGGTTAATTGTTCGGAGTAATTACGTAATGATTGTTTTTTAACTCTAGAGATTTTGACAAATACATTTTTTACTGCTAATAAACACATGCTCACGTACATATGAGAGCCTGTCTGAGAATTCACATGTAGATGCACGCCCAGATGAGGAACAAATACTAAGGGGAGTGACTGCCATCGTCTTTATAGATGCATCCAGGTATAGCAGTAGTGACATTTGATTTATCAGGGATCAGCAAAGACTTGTTTTCTGTTTTTTGTGATGCTCATGTGGAAGGGGAGCAGGACTGGGAAAGCATTGACCAGACCTGGTAGCATCACTCTTGATGGCTTTTCTGGCCCAGATCATGCCGTGGTACCCTGTTATGCTCAATATATAACCTCAAATATTAAGGATTCAAACTGCTGCTTTTGTATTTACAAAGCACTTTGCATGTCTTAACCTAACTTCAAGTTTGGAAAGCCTCTCCTCTATCTCCCCATGCACTGTCATTCCTAATCGTCCTACAGATAAACTGGCCTTTTTGGGAAACAGATAATCTGCCTGTGTATCAGATCCAGTCTTACGGTTGCCAGCTGGTCATCCGTAACTTAAGTCACCGCACAAGCCACCTCCAGGAGTGTGTGTCATTCACAGCTTCCTGACATGGGACTTCCCTAGCCTGGTGGTATTGGTATCATCAGCACTGTGTTATCAGGGGTGGGTTATACAGGCTGGGAATTAATCAGATTGTTCCTCCAGAGACGCCAGTTTGGCTCCACAAGAGTAGGATCTGGTAACACCATCTGAGTGTCTCTCACAGGTCAACACACCCTTGTGGTGGTCATCAGCTTGGGGATCTGATTGCCAGCACCTCACAAACCTTTCTTTTCCCTCCTTGGTGGATGCTTGCAGCCTGATTTACAGCTCACCTGCGTTATCTATATTTTTGTTTATGCAGAATGTTCCCTCCCCATATTTTATCCCGGATCATCATCCATAGCTCCTGTGGTGTTACTGTAATTCTGCATGTCCCCAAGGCCTTTCAGGGACAAGAGGTGGCACACAAAGGAGCATTTTGTAGGCAGAAAGGAGAACACTGTCATCCTGGAACATTTTGCATATACTGGTTCTTGCCAACTCCAGTAGCTGATCTACAGTCCAATAAGTCTTTGTGTTATTTTTTTTTCTTTTTTAACAATCTGAGAGCTTTAATTTTGGAAAAAGACTGAGCATATTTATACAGACCTTGGTAGATCATGGAGGGTAGTGATGGATAGAGATGGGTGGAGGATATTTTGGGGAATTTCCTCTGACCAAGTGGTTCCTCCTGTGCATTCCAGGCTACAACCCACCCACTGTTGTGAGTTGTAATGTACCTTTGCATGGGGATTACAGAACAATTTCAGTAGCCATAAGGACTATGTATTTTGGTGCAGCAGGGGAAGATCTGAGTAGTCCCTTGATTCAAAGACTTAGAGGAGCCTTCCTTTGTGGGACAAATGTCTAAAAGAAGCCTTGATCTTGAAGGTCTTTTCCAACCATTATGATTCCGAGGTCCCCTTCAATTCCCAACTCACTGAAGGACAAAAGCAGAGAGTAGAAATGCATAGTGGAAGGCTGGAAGTCTGCAAAAGTGTGACCTAAATTGGGATTCACATACAGCTGTATTCACTTTGCCACAATTCCATCTCTAACTGTGGCCTGATGCAGGGCAGCAGTGTATACAGAGCACCTCCGCATCAGCTTGAATTCCTTGTCATTCTCATCTGAATCACAAACACTAGCTGAGAGATAATTTCCCCTAAAAGATGGTGAATCCTAGGCACCTGGCAAGCTGTATTGCACCTCTCCCTGCACTGATCAAGTGTCGGAGTTTTTCTACCTAATATTTGACTACACTGGGATATCAAATTTAATCAAATATTCACTGTTCATTGTTAGAATTCTCTATTCTGTATCTTGAAAGGATCCTAGTGAATCTCTTCAGCACATGTAACGCTTTCAAGCAGATTCATTTATTGGCAATCTGGAGGTGAGAAAGGGATGCAGTCTGCTGTCATTTTTCTGTTAGTTTAAGGACAATCATAGTGGTTTGAAAAACCCTGCTTAAAGGCTGAGAAGTCCAGCAGAGGCAATGATGCTATAAAATTGAACCAGGAGCAAATTCTGATGGAGTGTCTCCAATTTGGCTTTGAATAACTGTCAACAAGCCAAGCTGTGGAAGTTAAATTACATATTAAGCTCCTTGACACATAGTGCAACTCTGTCTTACATGAATCTGTGACAAAGCGTGGGAGGGAATACAAGCCAACATCTTAGACACTTGTTACCAAACCTATTTATTGTCCAGATGGATCAGAGGAAGACAAGCACTATTCCCTGGACAGGACATGGGGAATCTGAGACCACATGCAAACTCTGTATGACTGTGACAATCCTGAAAGCACTCAAAAATGTCTTTAAAACATCTTAATTTCAATTAGTATAAAGTTAAGACTAATCAGATTTTAAAAAATGATGAAAGGCATTTCTCCCTCTCCCCCACCTGCACCTGTGCTATCAGCAGGGCACGAGCTGAGCATAACCTGCTCTGGGACCTGTCACAGCAGCACGTGGTTGATCCAGGCGCCCAGGGCTTTGCAGCAGGAGATGTAAGCTTCTCCAGGGAAGATGTCCAGGTAGGGTGAATGCTGCTCTTGCCCCACATACAGTTTGCAGGGGAGGACTTAGCCTGGCAGGTACAGCCACTGCTTTGTTCCTTCTCTCTGTGGTGTGGTGCATTTCACATTATTTCTTTAAATTTGAAAGAAAAACAGAAAAGAAGATTGGACAAAAGCGGAGAGCCTAAGAGAGAGCACTGGTTCCTCTCCATTACAAGTTGCATTAACAGTGTCTGTCTGTCAGGTGGGTGAGCAAACATGCAGCAAGATGGAACTTGGAACCATGGTCCTCTCCCAGCTCCTCTGTGATACAAGAGTCCTTCGGGAGAGCTGGGTTATCCTGTGACTCCTCACTGGCATTTAGATGGAGATGCTTCATAAGAAGTGAGAGGTGTAAACCAGAGACTAGCAGTGCAAATGGCCCAGGAAAGTGGGAAGACGAGCAAATTGCTCTCTGACGAGCCTGGCTGGATGCGGCTTAGCTGAGGTTGTGACTGTTCTGCAGCTGGTGTCCAGCT